AGCGTTACCGGCCTCTCCTGAGCTTCCCCTCCCATTGTGGTGGAGAAGGCTGGTTGTACTGGGGCTCAGGCTAGCCTAGCACTATTGTGCAGCTGAGGAATTTGGCATGCTAAACAGCCCGACGGATCTCTCTTTCTCTTTCCCTCTGGCTTTCTCTCACTCTGTTAGCATTATGTTAGCACCATGGCCCAAGATTGTCTTATCAGCTGCGCTAACACCAGCAGGCAGTGACAATGTGGCTGCATTCATCAAGCATTTGACGAGGAGAGCTTAGTGCCAACTTTGCAAGGAAAACAGCTTGGGAACACTAAATGCATCAAAAGAAAGGTCATCTTTTGGCACTTGCTGTCAGTGATGGCTTTATTCTATGCAGAAATTGAACATGTTCTGACCAAAGTAGTTCCAAATAGATCTGTATATCACTGATTTTGCACACAGTAAGAATGCATGCTCTCACTGAAACTTAGTAGTTAATTTCACCATAGCCAAAAGGTCAGAGCCCCTTACTGCCAAGGATTCAAGTTAATACACTGAGCCAGACACTAAACTGCAGCTACTTCCTGATTCTGTATGTAAACACTGACTTAATCTGAGAAACAACGTAATGTGATTTAAGTTACAAACATTAGCCTTGGTTTACCTGACTGTTTTGCACTGTAGATCCCTGCATATTGGGAAGATCAATCCAAAATACTTGGTTGAGAAAAGGACAATGGGTTGTATGTTGTTTTAACAAGGAGATTCAATAGGCCCCAAGCTCCACTAAGATAACCAAAAGCACAGCTAAACATGAAAGATCCCTTAATCAAGATAGCCATATGCTTAAAGCCCATATAGCCTATAGCAACATGAGACACACTAAGGAGGAAAAAGCCATGTATGGAGATCAGCCAACTGCAGCCAAGACAAATACTGCAAACTCTGTTCCACTGCACCATGGCAAAGGCTGGCAGAGCCCAGGTCCTATAGGAGCTTGATTCAACATTTAAGCATGACATTAGTACCATCAGAGTATTCAGAGGACATCAGCTACCCGAGTCATAAGCCTCCAGTGAAAATGCTTGCTTGAGTGAAAAGATTTCTCACATTAACAAAGTGGGACTCTGGGAGTCTAGAGATTTAACAGATGATTATCTTGATAGTTTAACAAAAACCATCATGTTATTTCAAGCCCTTAACATACAGTTTACTTTAGTTTGCCCTTAAGGCAGCTTCAAGGTTGTAAAATTGGTTTCTTCCACACTGTATGTCTAACAGTATCATGGATACATTCTTTATCAGCTTGTTCCAGGTTTTTAATTAAGCTCAATGTTGTTTACACTGAAATATATTAAAACTCTAGATTACATGTTTTTATGGCAGTGTCAATCCTAAATATTTTGGCATCATTTTATAAATATTTCCCTAAAATTCACACATATTTGGCATCTTCTGAAAATTTAGGATCTCAACTAGAATTTTAAAATACAGTTCTTGGGATCTGAACAATGTTTGGCTGCACAGCACGACATGAGGATAGGTTTACAAGCTTGCTGAAGTCATTCCTCCTGTTTATTCTTTCCCTGAAGAAATCTGTTATTAAAGCAGGTTCAATGTAAGTGATGGGGACAAAATCCACAGTCCTTGTTGCTGTGCTAAAGTGCAGATGTAAGCAGTTCATTCTACAGCTGACCAATGTACAGGACAGCATCTTTAAAAAGGAAAATAAGTAACCAGGTGATAGAATTGTAAGATATGTTCTGTGGTTGTTGGGAAAGGAAACAATACAGTAAAATTTTTGTAAATGCACTGGCTTGTCTATTACTGAGACTGGTCTGTGCAGAACATTACCTCGATAAAAAAAGAAACAAAAACTGACTTTACCATTTAAGAGTACTGGGGCACTGAAATCCCAAATGTTGCCCACTTGGCCAGGCTCCCAAACAAATCATATAGCTGTGAAACTAGCTTCATTCAGACAACAGCTGAATCCTATCTTTGTTTTTGCAAATGCATGCGAAGTAACAAAACTTCGAAGCTAGCCCTATCTTTTAAACAGTAGAACATTTTAATTGAACACAGCATTTGGTGAGTGTCATAAGCAGAGGAAAATGCAATCACTACACTGCAGTTCCGATTCAGTCTGAATTGCTGCTGTGTTCAGACCGGTGTGTGTTTCCTCTTTAGTTAGTTGTCATCTAAGAGAGGGTATTTAATTATTTAGACTAACGTTATATAATAGTAATCTCTGCATTTTAATTAGCTAAAAATGTCAATTTCTTCGCCTGACTTTGGGGGAAACGCTGTTTCGTCTGATTCCAAGTGTTTAACGTTAATGGTTGGCACTGGGATATTATGTTATCGCGTAACATTTTGGATGACAATCAATAGAAATTCAACCGACAAAAAGATGATATGTCGGTCTTAGTAACCCAAACTGTAAGGAGCTAACGCCGCAGAACAATTACATCCGTTTTCACGCTTTAAAATACAAAACGGTTGACTAACATTTGTAAGCAATACAACTCGGCTAGCTAGCAAACCTGTCGGCTGATGCTCACCTGACATCAAACGATGCGTTGTGGACTGTAAATAACGTTAAGTCGTGGATGTTTCCGTTTCTCACATTGTAACGTTACACATATTAATATAGGCTCTAACCGGTTGTTAATATGAAACAGCAGTGACTTTCAACACAAAATAAGACGGTAATCTAGCTAACTAACGCTGCTAGTGCGAGCAAATGTCACTTCTTGATACTTTTGATGGTGGTCGGAACTTTAACTTTTGACTTGTTGGATGCTAAGTTAGCCGCTAAACCTAACAAAGCAGTACACAAAATGGGCACACATCTTGTTCACACAAACATAAACCCGGCTGAATTTAACCAACGTAACACAACCACTACTTACATGACTGCTCCGCACTTTGAGGAACCCTGATTTTTTTAATTTAAAAGTACCCAGGCAACTGCTTTGGTCCTGCCAACTGCCCACAACAAGGAAGAAATGCTGGCTTTGTCACAGGGGAAACGGCCGTACAGCAGAGCCGCAACTGCCGATTTTAAGCAACTAAAAGGTAAAACTTTAACCCGCATACATTTACCGTAAAAAATACGTTAATTTCTCACCTTTCAGCGGTGCGGTGTTTGGAGCCATTTTTCCATCAGCTGCATTTTTTCCATCAACTCGCACCGAGGGGACGTCAGTTCCTGTTGAGGAGGTTGGATGGAGGTTTGGTTGGACACAGTTGGATAGAGTTTCTGCTTGGCTGGGTCGCTTTACTGAAGATTAAATGGGGAAGCAGCGTCACCGTGCGGACTAAAGCAGTTAGTGTCGAAATAAACGTGTTTATCTAGATTCTGGAGAGTTCATCATAAGTTCAGCATGTTTTATGCACCATTACAACATTACAACACCACATTAAAATTTATTGTGCTAGTAATAAAAAACAGCTACGTGTAACACCATAACAGTCACCTAAACGCATACTGAGTACTTCTACTTGTGGCATTTTAAGTACATTTTGATTATACTTGTGTAGTTTTGCTTGAGTAACATGTTTAATACAGGCGTTTTACTTGTCCAAGGTACAAGGTAGTTTATTTATCATTACACAAGATTGTACAACGAAAATAAAGTTTATAGTCCCTTCGGACAGTTCTTCATTATAATCATATGTATTTTCAAATATGGTAACATTTAAAATACATAAAACAACATATAGCGTCTTCAAGTATCGTTAACTAGCCCAGTTACCTTTGATTTGAACTTTCCTTGGGTAACTACAACCTGGATGACTGAGACACACTGATAAATGTGCTGAGAAGTGTGTGTGTTGTTGTTCTTTTGTATTCAGAATGATGTGTATATTTGCAATCTGAAAGTCAGGGTTAATTTAATACCAATTTATCAGACAAATTTATTATTTTTGGCACCTACTGTTAAAAGCATGAATTAATCAGATAAATGTATTCTATTCTAATCTACTAAAGTAAAGATCTAACAGTGTTTAGGTGTGTTTTTACTGATTGAGGCGGTCCAGGTCCTCTCCCTCAAAAGTGTCTGGGTTCAAGTGGTTAGGTGCTCAAACTGTTTCAGGAGGGCCTGATTTTTTTTTTGTTTCTCTTATGAAAATTACTCACAAGAGATCACACTTAACACAGCTTTATATTTATACATACAACACATGACCTATTATTTCCAGTTAGTTTTTGATGTAACCATTTGTAAGAATTGTCATCACAAGTAGGAGTAAAATTTATCGATGTCAAAAATAAAAATGAATTATCAATAATAAACATAACAACAACAATAATTAAAATTAATAATACTAATAATAGGCTAATAATAAAGTCCTGTACAATAAATATAAATGCATACATTGTACACCACTGTTAGTATGTATGTTTTGTATACGTAAACTCTAATCACCTAAGCATTAGCTGGATTGTACCAAAGCATGTGTTTTATAAAATGTGAATGAAAGGATCCATAATGGTGCAATTATCATGCGTTAATACACACATAGACAACACTCATATTGCATTTAAATATAGTTACTGCATTTGATCGCTCCATACATTTATAAGGGCTTTTGGACAGTTTTTGTCATTTGTAAAGCTGTTCCTCGTGTTTTTGGTAACATTGGTAAATGAGGTGCGCGCACCAATTTTTTCCCAAACGCAATGGGAATCCCAAGGGACTCCATTAAAATTCTTAATGTTTCCCATCTTAGTAAATTTATTTTGCACCGTCTCTTTACCTTCGCGTACAAATTTATAAGTAAGTATGTTTAATCCAGTTTAAGATATGACTAACTCCGCCCTCGTCGGGGGCTGCCTTTGAACGCCACGTACAGTTTGTCTCAACGTACCTTAAGCTATGGCTTGACTTGGTAACCTTTGACTAACAGGCTGAGCGACCAATCAACTCTCAACGCGACTGTTCTACAAAGAAAATATATTTCTTCTGTCCAATAAGAGCGGCCGGGGGCGGGGCGTTACCATGGTGAACACAACCTTTTTTTTTTTTTTTGCTGTAGGTTGTGGCCAGTTTATAGATGACAGCCGTAAACAAGCTGCAGGGAAGCTCGAGTAGTGTGGTGAGAGCTAAAACGGTTCAGCGCGGAGCTCAAAGTGAGTGTCAGTATACAAGTAAGTATTATTTTACGTGAACTGCTATTATTGCAGTTTTCTATATATGCTACGGTTTGTTTTGAAGCTTTTCTACATCTATGGGATAATGAATTAGCTAACATCTTCACTACATCACCCTCACTAAACAACCTGTTCTTTAAATGATACTGTCAGTCTATGTGTTTATCGTAAATTAGAGGTCGAGTTACATCTTAACAACAACTCTTTTAAATTACAAGGCTATGGTAGAGGAATTGTTTTAGTAAGTAAGCTCGCTGTGTCTTGATCCACCAAACACGTGTGTTGCATAGTCCTTTGCTGAGTGTTGCTTTTGAGATTAAGACTGTCTTGCTTAACCTCATTCATCCAGGTGCATTTGTGACTTGTATTCCTTTTGCAATGCTTGAGAAATGAAGGGTGTTTTCTTTTGCAAGGGTTGAGCACCTGCCCACACTGTACAGTGACACTTATGTCTAAGAACCATACATTTAAAAAGCTCCATGTGAGGTGTTCCATATTTTTGTAACATAACAAAATTATGATTTACCCAATTAACCCCTTATTTATTTTTCTTCTGTAATTAAAAAGATGGTGAGGGGTAGAGCTGTGGCCCATTGTGGGCTGGTTCTGCTAAGTTTGTGGCTGTGTATCCAGTCAGTGCCTATTAGTGTGGACAAGACCAAAGAAAAGCCTAAAAAGGAGGAATTGGAGCCACCACAGAGTGCTGTGAGTATTGTACAGGGATATCACATGTAAATCTGGGTCTTATAGCTAATTACACCAAACATCTGTCAGTCATCCAAAGGATCTGGACTGACTGTGTCTCAGACGAAAAGTGCACTTGCTTGTGGGTAAAAGGTTGACGGGAAAATTACATTCAGTGTATTTTAGAGTTTAGAGTAGGCTATTTGCTCAAAACAAACAAGAGCAGTTTCAGGTTAAATTAGGTGCCACCATTTAACCAAGAGTTATTGACACAAAAGGTTTCCATAATGGAATAAATCAAGTTAGATATTAACAAGTTAAATGAGAATTTTAGTCCTCTAACAACAAAGACTGATGTATGCTTTGGTTTATGCTTCAGGAAACTGGGCTGCACTACGACCGCTACCTCAGGGAAGTCATTGAGTTCCTCGAGAAAGACCCCCACTTTAAAGAAAAGCTTAAAAATGCCAACATGGATGACATCAAGGTATGTCTGCATACTCTCTAAAAATCAGCGTTATTTTGTAAGCTTTTTGTTTACATGAACACTTTGTATTGAACTGTGGCATGTTGATTTTTTGCTTTCAGCAAGGCAAACTTTCCAAAGAGCTGGACTTTGTCCACCACAATTTTCGGACTAAGCTGGACGAGCTGAAGAGGGAGGAGATGAACAGGTTGCGGATGCTCATCAAAGCCAAACATGACATTGAGGGTGGGAATGGTAAGTATTGTGCATATGTTGCTGATGTGTCTCTGACAAACTTTTACTTCTTGAAGTTGCTCAAGAAGTTTTGAAATACACATTGGCAGCTGGGTCATTGTCAAATATAGGATGTGGCTCTTAAGACACAGGAACATGATGTAATAGAGCTCCTACTTCTACCTCAACTAACACTGACTTACACGGGTCATTGTGAGCTGCAGTATGAAAGCTTCTATGAAATTAGATTAAGAATATATCACTGTACAGGTTGAAGTCATAACACATCACCTTTTAAAAACATTATGGTCAGAGACATAAGATGATGCAAGATGGACAGGATGTGCAGAAACATTTTAGAGGTGGTAAATAAAACATTTCATTATTCCCTTTCTTGTAGGCCGGACAGTGGACCACCAGGCCCTGCTGAAACAATTTGAGCACCTCAACCACATGAACCCAGACACTTTCGAGGTGGAGGACCTGGACCGCCTCATCAAATCGGTGAAAAAACACCTGAACACTCCTCACTAAATAGATCTTTACTGAAGTAGATCTGACTTTTTTATGAAGAAGTTTGCAGGTAACTTCTAAGAAAGCAAAATTCATCAGGCAAGGTTGCTGCTTTTCTAAATCTAAAGTAACTCTGTTAATAACACAACATACCATACCTATATGAGAACAGGCCTTTTGGGGCATTTTTTGGCAATGTCAGAATCAAACATCAAGCACAGCCAAAATAAAGAAATGACTCATTCCAGAGGAATGACTGTTGTAACCTCAGAACATCTTGACTGTTCAAGTAGCACAAATAGCTAGAAATTTGTTGTAAGACAACGTCCCCTATATATAAATGGCAGCCACACATAATAATTAGTGTATGTACTAGTAGGTTGTCATAAATACAGATTTCTATATTTTAGTAGAGTTTGTCTTAGACCCTTGAAATGTATATGAATTTTTAGCTTTTACTGACCATGTTCCTCTACACTGTAGTGCTGCTGCTCATGTGATTCTGCTAACAGTTGTGATGGGATTTTTAGGGGTACTATGATACAGGTTTTCCCTGGTAATGTTAGGGTCATTTTCTGAGCTAAAGTAAGTCAAAGGTGATAGTCAGGGACTCCAAAACAATAGGTCAGACTCTGTCTCTCCTCTCTACCTTCTTGGTCGACTGACTGACACAGCTGTCTTGATAAGGATGCATTGTTTTCCATTTGTTAGGTAACCCAAGGTTGAGATTATCTTTATTTTGTTTCGTTACAGACAGACTGACTGGCTCTATGTAGAAAGTGTTGCATGTGGCTTGAATGACACACAGCGTTACTTTAGGATAACTTAGGTAAGCATAGTGTCTTTACACTATGTATAGGTAATCTCCACACATTTAGAATGAACAACCAACTTATTTGGACAGTTAGTTTTTTTTTATTTTATGCAATCCTTTTATGGCGTATTTATTTCTTTATAGAAGCTGCTAAGTTCAATGGTTTGCTCTAAACTGCATCTCGTTGTATTTTATGTGCAATGACAATAAAGTCTCTATCTATCTATCTAGTGAATCTCTGTAGGTCTAGGAAGGATAAATATCTCCAGACAGGAAGTACCCTCGAGATTAGGTGTTGGCATTGCATGTGTTCACATTTGGATGCTGGCACTGTATCTCCTTACTCAATAAACAAATGCTGTGTAAGTTTTCATCAGTCTCCGAAACCTCTTCATCACACCTGAACCTGGCTCACTTTATTTTTACAACAACAGTCATACCTATAATCACAGTAAAGAACACCTTGCGTCATGTTATTGCTATAATTACGATGGATAGAGAATTACAGGTGTCAAACAGCGAGCTGTGTTTCAAACGGGGCCGCTCATTCGTTCTTTTCTTCTGCCTCAGGTTTATTAACCAGTCCGGCCTTTTTTGATTTTGGATGTAATAACTGGAGAGGGCCACATTTTTTCTGTTATAATCAAATGCAATCAAATGCATCTAAAGCTTGACAATATTTTGTTTAGTGTAATTTATTCACTATTCATGCCTTGGGGCTGCTTGGTGAAATGCAAACAATACAGATAAATAAATGTTTACTTTGTTTGTGAGACTTATTATTTGACACTTTTAGGACAACCAAATGTGTATTTAACATAAAGGTACCACTCTTTTTTTATTTTTTTTTATTTGTCATTTACTAATGGCTACTTCCCTACTAAAGGATAAGATTTAATATCAACAACAGGGTTTAGATTTAATATCAACAAACCAATCCACCACCACAAACCAACAAATAATTTTTCAGAATATGAAACAGACTTAGTCATCTTTACTCTCAGTTTTACTACCCAGGTTATTAATGCTGCAGAGTGGCTTTGTAGGGCAGGTGTAGTTGTACATGGCCAGCATCCATAAAATAATGTGAACATATCAGCCCTGAACAATTTGTGTAATTTGCACTGCACGAGGTAAAACAAAAGGATCATGTTTGATTGATCCTGCCTGGGATATTACAGCATTAAATCCCTTGTACCCTGGGTGAGCTATGGAATTGAAATTCATCCAGCCAAGCAGTGTGCTTGCAACTGTGATTGCACTGTATGTGTTTTTCCAGAAAAGCGAGTGTTCCAGTACAAGCTGTACAATCCAGGTGAGAATTTCCCCATCTCAACGTTTTGTTTTAATGTGTAGGCGACCACAGACCTGGAGAACTTTGACAAGGACCGCCACGATGAGTTCAAGAAGTATGAGATGTTGAAGGAGCATGAGAGGAGGGAACGTCTGAAGGCTATGAATGAGGAGGACCGCAAGAAGGAGGAGGAGCTCTATGAGGAGATGAAAAAGAAACATAACAACCATCCAAAAGTTAACCACCCTGTAAGACTCCTGCTTCATTAATGCAAATAGAGGTTACATCTCATTTAGTAAAGTATCGTTTAGAAGAATTTTCCCATTTTACTTTGCCAATTCTTAGTTCTTAGTTGGTGGAATTGTTTGGATTTTAGGGACTATGCTGAACATGGAATTTTGCTGAGTAGAAATAAAAACAAGAGTCAGTTGAGTGGGTTTTATTGAAAGGTGCAATGGAGAGTTAATAAAAAACATAACACAAAATACAGGAATAAAGGAGAAAGAGAACTCCTTAAGGAAACTGAGGTGATGTGCTTCAAGATGAACTGACACCTACTATGGTGTGTGCTTGTGTGCAAATGCAGGGCAGTGAAGACCAGCTGAAGGAGGTGTGGCATGAGGCAGACGGTTTGGACCCAGAAGACTTTGATCCCAAGACCTTCTTCAAAATGCACGGTAACCAGAGACCATAGTGGGGCTAAAGAGCTAAGAACAAATATCAGATGTTTCCACTGTTCTCTCTCTAAATATACGACCAGTTCTGACTCTAGCATTGAATTGTGGTTGTGCAGTCTACTCTGACAAGTCTTCCCTCATCAAAAAGGGATGTTGATGTAGACCAGTGATTCAATGAGCACTGTATAGCTAAACACATTGACATAATAATAATCTGATATGCCTCTGAAAAAACTATGTATGTATGAAATTATCTGTTCATTCTTGTCATTTGTTTTGTTTTACAGACAGCAATGGAGATGGATTCTTTGATGAGAGCGAGCTTGAAGCTCTCTTCACTAAAGAGGTATTTATGTTTATGTATTTATGTCTGACTGCCCTGGTGTTTTAGGATGAAAAAAATATAACAATAAATGAAGAAGCCTTGGAGGTAAAATTTGTATCTTGTGTGTGTCCTTAAGCTGGAGAAGGTGTACAATCCCGAAAATGAAGAAGACGACATGGTTGAGATGGAGGAAGAGAGACTGCGAATGAGGGAGCACGTTATGAAAGAGGTGAGGCCACCACAATAACAGAACAGATGTGGATGCTCTATCAAGTGTGTTAATAAGGCAGTAATGCTCAGCCTTGATCAGGCCCCACAAATAATTTGGGCATCCTTTGAATGCAGTCAGTAAAAAGATTCAGACTTTTTCTATTGGAAATCTTAATGAAAGTTTGACTGTTTAACACCAGAACATAAAGACGGGGTACAAATTAAAAGAAAAACCTGAATAACACAGCGGATAAACATATCAAATGCAGATGCTACCTTGCATCAGGGTTTGGTGAGTTTGAAACCATGTGAATAAAATTCTATGGCCTTTACAGTCACTAGATCTCAACCCAGTTGAACACCTATGAAAGACCAACACGTAAGACAATGTTCTCCACCACCATCTCAAATTTGGTGTTATATAACATCAAATAATATAATATAAACATTTATCTGTAAATCTATTTAGTGATGTATAGACACTAATAAGACACTTCATGTTGGTTTTTCCTTTCATTTGTCACCCATCTCTTGTCCCATGCGCATTGCCACTCCACTGTTCATCAGAAGTGCAGTATTGGTATCTAAAATATTATGTTTTAGTTCAAATGTATAGTTATGGCACCCTATATTTAATTTAAAAACACTGGATTACAGTGTAAAAATACATTATTCATCTATGCAGTGCTGAAGTCAGAACAGTAGTGTGTCAGAAATCACTCAAATTATCATTAATGGTCAAATGGGCACATTGTTTCTCTCACTTAATTGACAAATTGTAGACTTGTAAACTTGTGCAGACATTGTCAGTGCTGGAAAATGGACAATATCAGTTGTGCTAAACAGAAACTGCAACAGAGGGCAGTACTTTAGCAGGGAGTTGAAAGGTCGAGGCTTTCTCCTGGGCAGTTGTGGCCAATGATTCCTCTTGAAGACTATTTATTGGCCCTGACATTGATTAAAGTGCTTCATGTGTTCTTCAGGTGGACACCAATAAAGACAGACTTGTGTCACTAAGCGAGTTCATGGCAGCCACGACGAAGGAGGAGTTCTTGGAAAAAGATGAGTGGGAGGTAAGCGCTAGATTTTATAGACAGAAATGTAAGGTTTCTCTTGAGAAGATGATGTTCACCAAGTAGAGTCAAGATTTGGTTGACCTTGCTGTCATGTTAGTGTACATTATCAATATTAAATTTAACTCACCATCAGTTGGAGAGCTACTGTCTCTAGTTGGCTTGTGAAATGATAAAATAAAAGCCCTACAAATGCTTGTACGGTACAAATGGTTGTACGGTTGAGAACAGCTGTTTTGCTTACATTGCTGATGAAATTCATCCCCTTTCTGTATTTATTAAATTCATTACATCTTGTAATTTCCTGCCCTTCACCGTGCCTCCACAGACTTTGAATCAAAACCCCCTATACACCGAGGAAGAGCTGAGGGAGTATGAACAGCAACTGGCCAACGAGGGGGATGACATCAATAGGAAATCGGCCGAGCTGCAGAAACAGAGAGAGGATCTCGAAAGGAAAGAGCAAGAACTTAATGCTCAGAAGTTGGGGCTACAGCAGGTGAATTTAAAAAACTAATTATTTGCAGGATTTCTTTCCTCAGTAGTCTGCAGGTGCTATAGAAGGGGGTTATATCGACACAGTTACCCATAGTTCAAATTATTTGAAATAATTTCTGATTGATTATATGTATGATTTGTTGGTATGTGAAACATTTACTTGCTATTAACAACAGTGGTGAGCCACACCCAAATGTTACTGTATTCTGTGGATTCTTTGCATTACAACTTACTGTTGCCAAGTTTGAGATGCAGTGGGCAGGTTTCAGCAAACAAGACCAAGATTCAGCTATTTTTATCATGGCTCATGTCATATAAAGACATGTCAAACTGTAACTTCATGTGAAGTTATGTTACAGTTTTGTTTGTACAAAATATTAAGTTAATAAACTGAGCAGAAGTTCCCACTTATTCAGTGATGCTCTAACATTTTCCATCTCGTTTTGTCTGCTCAGGCAGTAGATGAAATGGAAAGGTTAAAAGCCCAAAGCTCAAAGGCTGAGGTCATCAGTAAGTATCACACACACATTCACACGAGAGCTGACACAGAACACAGCCTTTTGAACACACAGTTGCCATTTACTTTGCACTTCTATAATATGTATATTATCATAAATGGGATTTATTATAATTATATTGATTTGTTTTGCATAATGTGTCAGCTAAATGACTAAATGTATAAAGTTGGGGGACTGACAAGAGACATTAAAAAAGAATGGTAATGTAGTCATCCGGACTTTTAGTCCCTAGTATGATTTAATGCTTTAACTTACATTTCCCAAAATTGTCATGTAAATTTGTCATGTCATTTAATTTCATTGCAGAGCCCGGAGCTCCTGTAACTGAAGGTGAACCTGCACCAATTGTACCAGGAAACAGTAAACCACTGCCCCCTGGTCACCAGCAGCAAGATGTACCAGTGCCAAGACACTCTTAGCAGGCCTCAGTACTCTGTGTGGGCTGTATGTGTGCCAGTGAGCGTGCGTGTGTGTGTTTGCCTTGTAATGATTCCAATTTACCATTTTTGTTTAGGATTTTCCAAAAAAAAATGCCTAAATGTTAAGAGCACATAAGATATAAGAACTCAGATTTAGTGCCAGTGCCCATAATGCCCGATTTCGCTGCATAAATCAGACTTGAAATGTGGAGCGGGTCCAGATTCCTTTGTGGACAATCGACTCTTTTGTTTAGTTTTTTTGTTTTGATCTTCACAAGGACTCTGTTACTCTCTGCTCTCCAGGGGAAGTGCTAATGGGGTGACATTGGGGGGGGGGGGGCTTTTAGGCCTGGTAAGTGAATGTTTTGTTTAGCACACTGTAGTTAATTCTCAGTGGTACTGTCTCTTAGAGACAAATACTAATTATTTATTTATTCCATTAAAGAAAGCTGATTATTTCAGAAAACATATATGCTGCCTAATGAAAGAAAATGTCCTATTTACATTTTTAATGTAGTGAAAGGATTAATTAATTCAGCACATCCATAAAATATTTCTCTTTTTATTTAACATTTATTTCACCATTTTCCTTTTGAAATATGTTTTCATTTTAAAATGTGACACTGTGTATGTGTTGGTGTAGAAAGTATGCTATCAATATTTAAAAAAACACTTGATTTTGTCCTCAATCTCTTAACTGTTTTATATAACTTAAGAGGACCCCAGACAGCAACAATTCTCAAAGGTCTTTTTAGACCCTTTGCAGAAACAGACCAAATGACTGAAGAACATATTTGTTTACAGATAGTTACATTAAATATTGAAATCTTATAATTTAATTGTGCTGGTTCAGAGTGATGATTGTATACATTCTAAAATAGTTGTATGTGTTTGCGTGTCTGCATTTGTGTCAGTTCTCATGATAGATTACTTAAAAAAAAAATTTAAAAAGCTGGTTGAATTTGACCTTGTCTCTGTCATAGGAGTTGGGAAAGCGTGAATTAAACAAGTAAACAGTCACAAGGTCAAAAACTGACTTCAGAACTGTCTTCATTAAGGATTAATACAACAGATAAGAGATAGACACAGAAAAGGACACATAGTTTATGTTTAATTGAGGAATCAAGATACAATACTTTTTTCATTCCTTTCAAAGAGCAGTTAAATCTGTCCAACATCCTGAATTTGTTGTACAAGGTTTGAATGCAGTCAATAAAGTGGATGAGCTTGCATATTTCAGATTTGTGTCTCTTTTTATACTGCACATTGCTTCATTGATTATCTAAAAAGCACAATAATATTCAAAGCAGAATTTAAAATGTAAAAACATTGTGGGATCCAAAAGAGGCATCTTCATCGTTCTGATGAAAGTGACTATGATAAAACGTGTGAAAGACTTCACAGGCATGTCTATAAAGCTCAGCAAGGCACCCTGACCTTTGTTGACAAAGTGACAACACATTTATGATAAACAGTTGTGTGTAAATGAACTTGGAGCGTGGAGAAATTCAGCTTTGCCCATATGTCTCATTGAAGCGCTCGTTGAGATAAGCGCTTGTAGTAACAGAGGATATTTGTTGGAGCCGTTGCAGCAGGTGATCAGAACGTCGTCATCCGGCTGGGAAAAGAAAGCCACAGACTGACGTGTTGTGGAGTCTCCAGCAGGGGGGAGCAACACTCTGTGGAGCTGAGGGACAGGACAAAGGCAATAATGAGCTTTCACATTTTTACATTATAAAACCCAAAAAGCACTGTACATCACCAATTAACATAAAACATTTTCCTCCTCAAATATCATTTCCCAGGATATGTACACCAAAAACAACATACAACAACAACAACAGACAGGACAGGTGAAATCTAGGCTCCAGCAGCCTGTTGCACCAGCAATACGTAAGTTGTACCTTAAGTTAGGGTGCAAAGTCCACACTAAACAATACGTTGAAACTAGGCTAAGTTTGAACTTACACATAGTTGGTGCAACCCAGTGCTGATGACTTCATTGAGATACCTTTTTCATGGCTGCTAAGGCCACAAAGGGACCGAAGTCCAAAATGACCAAAGTCCATTTTTCGTGTCACTTAATGTCTTCACACTAAGGTTGGGCAATATAACAATAATAATTTTTCTAAATATATAACAAATGTTCAAATTCAATAAATAAGCACTTAGTTTTTCTATTCAGATATTTACTTGGTTACTTATTTTACTCATTTGAAAAAAGATTTCATCATTATAATTGTTTTGAATGTTCTACCTCTGATTTGTGAAGTGATCCACTGTTTGGCAAGTGTTTGTCATGTTCTGACCATCAAGAATACTTTAAAACCACAATTAACCTTCTGGATTCTTTAACTTTCACTCAGGGGCAAAAATCAGCCTTTAAACTGGAAAGAAAACATTATTTGATATTTATTGTGATAATTATCGATAGAAATATTATTGTAATAACATTTTTGGCCATATGGCCGAGTCCTACTTCATACTAAACTTTAACTTACATTATATCCTGTGGGATTACTATTAATAATAGTTCTAGTTAGGTTAACATTTTTTGTACTCAATCTGTAGGGATGGTGAACATCAATATAATTAACAAACATTTTGTTTATCACTGTTAAACACTGCAATCATAACCTGGTTGCACTAAATCAAACATCTGATTTTTTTCAGTGATAAACAAGTGAAACAAAACAGCAATTCAGTCTCATTATCACACCTCTGAAGTCAGACATTACGGGGTGTTTGGATTTGCACGTCAGCCAGTCAGTAATGACCATTACAAGTGGTCCTTGTGTTAGACTTTCCCGTTTTGTATGCTGTAAGAGCCAAAATTTTTTAAAATCTTTTTGTCCCCATTTCTAGTATCCAATTGAATATCAATTACTCACTATCCTCTGATATAACCTACTGTATTTATTGGTTGATTATTGTAAGTTCTTTCTCTTGGATACCAGTTAGACCTTGAATTTGATCTTCTTATGCCCCATGCACATAGTTGTGTCCTGTGTATTTCTTACTTCGTTGTAAAATCAATAGCTAAATCCACCAAAGGTTTGTCATTCAGATGGGAGAGTTATCTGCAATACTGTCCTTTCCACTCACCACAGAGACATACTGATCACTGGTCCAGCGCTGCATCAGGTCAGCAATATGAGGACCGCTCCGGGGATAGCGGGAGCACTGATGAATTCACCTGAACGGTTAGGCACCTGAAAGATTATCAAGGGTCAGGTGGAGTAACAAATATCAGTACAACAACAGATATTCAGTTTTGTAATCCTTTACATTAAAAAGGAGATGTCAGTGGTGTTACCTGCAGACCCACAGAGCTCTGTAACAATAGGGTGATGCTGCCGTAGTCTGAATGCTCTCCACATCGCAGCTGACCCTGCTTCGCTTTCTCGCTGTTTACTGATGGGTAGTACAGAGACCGCAGCGTGGAGTCATTCTCTTCAGCTAGAGGAGACACTGTTAATACTTGCCTAGAATGTTAGTATTACAAAAGTTTACTTTGGGATTAAGATTCAGTAGGCCTACTATACTGGGAGCTATCGGATGTTTGGCTGTCGATTAACAACAGTCAAACAGGCCTGGCATTCTGAGGATAAGTTGTTACAGTAACTAGCCTGTGGGCTACACAGTCTTATTTGTCTTCCAAGATGATGATTCTGTGGTGTTCTGTTGGGAACTGAACTTTTGAGTGTATTCTTTATTCATTGTCCTTATTTTTAATGCCTTGCATCTTGCTTAAAAATGTTTTTCCACCTTTAAAAACCATTATCCGACATCTTCCTTTATTGACGATGTGGAAGCCAAACACAGTGCTGCTGAGTGAGAAGACTGTTAGCTCGTGTAAGCTGCATGTAAGCCCAGAGGGTTAACGACATTAACTTGGAAGTCAAGTTTTTTAGAGTGATGGAAAAGTCTGAATCACTCAACGAGCTGGGAAATTATGAGCTCTGTATTTTCATCTGCTCAGCAGATTACAATTTTGTGAATGTGAGACAGGATGTGCTTGAAAAGGTCCTCACATGCTCTGAAGACCTCATGCAGACAAAGGATCAAGTCACAGTGTTACCACATATCAGCTGATGTAGACTCAGTGACTGCCTTGACATGCAGCCTGAACCTAAGAAACAATACCACACTCCATAGTGAGAGCAGTGAGCCTTTTGTACATACTTCCAATTGAACGGTGTGCACTCAGGAACACCTCGGGGTCCAGACCCAGACTGTGTGCCATCACTCTCAGTACCCACAGACTCAGCTCTTTACAGCGCTGATAGAAAGACGCCTGGATCTCCTGGAACCCGGTTACAGCACCTGATGGCCATTTCTAAAGCAGAGGAGAACAGAATTAGAGCCTGACTGTTACTGGACCTTTGCAGCAGATACAGATATTTATTTTCGAAAGTTTTATTAAATAACAATTTATACATCCATTCATTTGTTTGCATAAAGCAAGCATGTTTTAATTAGATTCCTTTATATTGTTTTTAACACATGTTAATGAAATATGGACTTAGCAGGACACTTGGTGGGCACGTAATGGGGACACCTGTTTTTAAACATATTTGACCAGTAGACTATACTGAAATGTCCTTGTGGTGATACTGATATATCTGTGATAAATCAGTATTGGCTGATAGTATTGACAAATGTATCAGTCAGGCTACAAATGGAACAGAGTATGTTGTATGTTTCTCTATTAGGTCACCTTTCACCTAGAACAACTATCTATCTGATGTTTAGTTATGTTTAATTATGACCATACAATTGAATGGACCCCAGTGAGAATAGCTAACATTTATACTGGTGCTGATGGGGACCCTAATAAAAATAGATTTTTCCAATAGTTACAAAAACGTTTGTGTATGCTGTCAGTTATAGTTCTTAGAAAGAAATAAAATCGTAATCGGTCAAAATTAGAATTGGCTTGTCAGACCTTATAAAAAATCAGTAATTGGAATCAGCCAGGAAAAATAATCTGTGCATCTCTTACTACAACCATAATCCTGTGTGTGAACTGATATTAGGCTAATATCTTATATCTATCATTGTGTTGGGTTTTGCGCATATATATATATATATTAGTTCTGGTCAATATTAATTTTTAATTGTGATTAATGCATGATTTTCTTGCGATTAATCACGATTAATCGCATTGTTATGGTAAAATTGAATAATGAATTCTAAAGTAGTGTATTGCGCAATTTTAATTTAAATGTACTGCTATATATCTACACAAAAGTGTAATAACATGTGGTTTGCAACACTTATCAAACTCACAAATAAGGTGCTTTTTACCAGCAGTATTCCCTTTACATAGCAATAAAATATTTCTTGTAAATCTCAACTTAAACTTATTAATGTAATCAAGTCAAATATTAAGTCAAAGCGTGCGTTCACTCGCACAGACTTCACTCGGTTAAAAACTTAAAATGACGTTACAAGTCTCGACGGATATTTTACAAGCGCAGACCAGGTAACGTTAAAGCAACATTGAACACAGAGTGCAGATGCTGGTTTCGGCTGTTTGAGGTGTTTGATAGGCTGCGTCATTAACAAGCAAGCGGCTCACCTGCTGCAGTGATGACGGATCGCGGGTGGAAAACTATGGAAAAAAGATGACAGCGTAGTCTGCCGAAGCCTCCCTCCACTGCTTGTTTGGGTGGGTGATTTGCAGGCTGATCAACATCCCGCCCCTCCTGTGACCCATGGTTTGGACTGTATGTGTATTCAGAGTCAGTGGGCAAGGGACTTTCAAACTAATAATAATAAAATAAATACTGCGTTAACGTCTGATAAAATATTTGTCGGCATTAATTAATTAATGCGTTAACGTGACCAGCCCTAATGTATATAGCCCTAATATATACAGGTGAAACTCGAAAAATTAGCATATCATGCAAAAGTTCATTTATTTCAGTAATTCAACTTAAAACGTGAAACTAATATATAGACTCATTACATGCAAAGTGAGATATTTCAAGCCTTTATTTGATATAATTTCGATGATTATGGCTTACAGCTTATGAAAACCCCAAATTCAAAATCCCAGAAAATTTGAATATTGTGAAAAGGTTCAGTATTGTAGGCTCAAAGTGTCACACTCTAATCAGCTAATTAATCCAAAACTCCTACAAAGGGTTCCTGAGCCTTTAATTGGTCTCTCAGTCTGGTTCAGTGGAATTCATAATCATTGGGAAGACTGCTGACCTGACAGTTGTGCAGAAAACCATCATTGACACCCTCCACAAGGAGGGAAAGCCTCAAAAGTTAATTGCAAAAGAAGTTGGATGTTCTCAAAGTGCTGTATCAAGGCACATTAATAGAAAGTTAAGTGGAAGGGAAAAGTGTGGGAGAAAAAGGTGCACAAGCAGCAGGGATGACCATAGCCTGGAGAGGATTGTCAGGAAAAGGCCATTCAAATGTGTGGGGGAGCTTCACAAGGAGTGGACTGAGGCTGGAGTTACTGCATCAAGAGCCACCACACACAGACGGGTCCTGGACATGGGCTTCAAATGTCATATTCCTCTTTTCAAGCCGCTCCTGAACAAAAAACAACATCAGTAGCGTCTTACCTGGGCTAAAGAAAAAACGAACTGGTCTGTTTCTCAGTGGTCCAAAGTCCTCTTTTCTGATGAGAACAAATTTTGCATCTCATTTGGAAACCAAGGTCCCAGAGTCTGGAGGAAGAATGGAGAGGCACACAATCCAAGATGCTTGAAGTCCAGTGTGAAGTTTCCACAGTATGTGTTGGTTTGGGGAGCCATGTCATCTGCTGGTGTTGGTCCACTGTGTTTTATTAAGTCCAGAGTCAGCGCAGCCGTCTACCAGGACGTTTTAGAGCACTTTATGCTTCCTTCAGCAGACAAGCTTTATGGAGATGCTGACTTCATTTTCCAGCAGGACTTGGCACCTGCCCACACTGCCAAAAGTACCAAAACCTGGTTCAATGACCATGGGATTACTGTGCTTGATTGGCAGCAAACTCGCCTGACCTGAACCCCATAGATTCTCTATGGGGCATTGCCATGAGAAAGATGAAAGACATGAGACCGAACAATGCAGAAGAGCTGAAGGCTGCTATTGAAGCATCCTGGTCTTCCATAACACCTCAGCAGTGCCACAGGCTGATAGCATCCATGCCACGCCGCAATGAGGCAGTAATTCATGCAAAAGGGGCCCAAACCAAGTACTGAGTACATATGCATGATTATACTTTTCAGAGGGCTGACATTTCTGTATTTAAAATCCTTTTTTTATTGATTTCATGTAATATTCAAATTTTCTGAGATTTTGAATTTGGGGTTTTCATAAGCTGTACGCAATAATAATCGAAATTATATCAAATAAAGGCTTGAAATATCTCACTAGTTTCACCTTTAAGTTGAATTACTGAAATAAATGAACTTTTGCACGATATGCTAATTTTTCGAGTTTCACCTGTATATAAGTAAGAGACCTCCTCTATCCCAGAGGAAACCTAAATTATGTAGCCTAGAGGAGGCAAGTTTTTTAGGATAATATGACCCTATGGTGAACCTATGAACTTAAGTCATATTTAAACGACTATTGATTTGTGTTGTTGGCCAGAAAAATAATAGCAAGACTTCCCTCTGTGTACACGTATCCTATAAAAATACAATTTTGGCTGTATTATTTGTGTCCCCTTCAAAAATTGAGAAATTTTATGTTTATTGTCCACCCTTACTGTTAGATGAGATTTACGCCCATGCTACCATGCCAAAAAAAATGGAAAAAATAAATAAGACCTATGACCTGAGGTAGGTGTATTGGTATACAGTATATACAATATGACATAGTATGAACATAGTATGAATAGCATTGAAATAGAGAATGGTGAATAAATAAATAATTATGGAATAATAAGTGGAAACCAGTAAACAGGTGGCTGATTAGAGGAAGAGTTACTGGGTTATTGCACAGGAATTGTTCCTGACACCTTGAGTCAGAAATCAGCTGTTCATCAGAGTGATGGCTTATGGGAAGAAACTGCTTCTGTGTCTGTTGGTTTTGGCGTACTGTAGCGCCTACCAGAGGGGAGGAGCTGGAACAGATTGTGTCCAGGGTGAGATGGATCTGCAGTGATGTTTCCTGCCCGTTTCATGACTCTGGAAATGTATAAGTCCTGAATGGAGGGCAGGTTGGCACCGATTATTTTTTCTGCAGTCCAGACTGTCCGTTGTAGTCTGTCCTTGTCCTTTTTGCTGGCAGTTCCAAACCAGACAGTGATGGAAGTGCAGAGAACAGAGAACAGACTTATATGTTTACAAGTTGAAGTTTTCACTAGTTCGTGTAATGGGTTTGTACAGACTGGACTTTTGTTGCTGGAGTCGCACCTGACATGATGTTTGACTCGAAGAAAGAAAGGAGCATCTTACAAGTTACACATTGTAAATTACACAGTGGCCACAACAAAATATTAGACCAAATTTTCTGCAGTTAAAATAACAGCAGTAAAAGCAGGACAGGGCAAGTAAGGATTCCTCCACAGTTGGATTATACCAACCAATATCGGCACATACAGACCCGTTATTGTTGCGTCTTCTCCTTTTCAAGAAGATGTAAGAATGTCTCCAAGGTGTGTTGTCAAAGTCCTGCATGCACCAAAATGTGGCTGAGAGATAACCTGATTATGAAATTAGTTGATGCCTCCTTTCTGCTCTCTGCTTGTAACCTGTAAATATAACTTAGAGGGAAGTCTCCCTTTTATTTTGATACCAACAGACAGTGATCTCAAAGGATTTTGTGTGTATATCAATTTAGCTTCCATGCTTCCCAAACACTGAATTTTACAGACAATGGCTGAAATCTGCCAGAATGGCTACATGGGTGCTCTCCGCTTCCTGCAAGAGAACAGTAAGGACATCTTTCCATAATTACTGTTGAGCATTCATGTAAACAGAAGGTTTTAAAGTTGTATTCTACTAGCTGCAGCAGCTGATGGTAAGTAATCCAGTGCTTCTTACTGTGGAAATCATGTCGATTTGAATAATCCATCACAGATCTGATCAGCAGTGAGAGTCCCCTGAGAAGTTTGGAGATGGATGCACCTAAGCCTGCTTGTTGTGAGCTGGTGAAGGAGCCGGCCGAAGCTGAAGAGTCCAAGGAGAACACACATGGACTGAAACCATTTAAGGAAGAGCACAGGTGGCTGGATCCACAGCTGACTGAGCACCTCCCAGTTAACATTAAAAGGGGTAAGAACAGTCATTGAAAGGTTGGCTGACTTGGCTGTGTACAGGACTGTGATTCAAACAGAAGAAACGGCGAGTCACTGAGCCAGTACAGTACATAAAGTTAAACTAAATGTGTGTTTCTTTTTCAGTGTATTTGTTTCAGTGTTGTGTGATGCCTGTAGAAAGGCGCACACTGCCGGTGGTCTGTTGTCCAACATGACTACGTACCTGAAAGTC